TTTAATTTCATAGAAGGATTTCCAGTGCTATTCAAGATTATCCTGAGTATTGGGCCAAGATAATCTTTCAAATGGTGGATCTAAAAATTTAAATGATAAATTATAACAAACCCATGGCCTGTAAAGTAGACAGAGGTGTTCATTCGCTTTATTCTTTCTAGTGAAAATGTTGGAACGTTCTGTCTTTAGTATCATTTGTCTCAGTAGAATGAAATTACAGAGAAAGAATGTCATCTTTAACATTGCAAGCTGATTTGCACATTAATTCTAGAACATCTTTTCAAATCAGCTTGCAATGTATTTAGTTGCCGCAACAATAACTTAACACACAGTGCAAATCTGTTAGATAACTAGGATGGAGAAATTGTGAATTACCTTCACCTAAGCTATGTGTAAAAAAAAAAAATTTAAATCCTACAATTCCCTTTATGTAAATGAAACTGTTCCATAAATGTTCATTTCACATTTTAAATAAATATACTAAGTTATTTATTTAGAGTTAATTGTATTTCACATTTAAATGTCATTATCTATGGACATAATATACCTTTGATATATGTTTTATGTTACTTGCATTTGATTGTGTTCAATATTAATAAAATAGTAATTTTATATTTGCATAATTTGTTGTAGAGATATATTTAGATATATGTCTTTAATTTTATTAAATTGTATTACTTTTTGTGTACTTTAATTGATATGTAACTATATATTTAAATTTAATGAAGCAACCATTTAGAGTACAAAAAAAAAAAAAAACAGGAAGGTGTCCAGGATGAGTGTTGAAACTTTGACACTAATATTGTTGTGATATGCATACCACAAACAAATAAATAATTCACAGGGATACCCTCCACCCCCGTGTGCCCAGGTTTGACACTTAAAAAATATAGTCACCTTAGTGTATTAAATCCCTTTTTTACCTTTTTCTCCTCAGCACAGGTTAAATCAGTATTTTTAGCATGTACAAAGCACATTTATGAATCCCTTTGTTCAGGAGCCCATTACATTATATTCATTAATAATTCAACCTGAAGAATATGAGGAACTAAGTTACACTAGCTTTGAACACTTTTTTTGGGCTGAGCTTCAAAGGACATCTCATTACCCAGTGGTCGATACTATCCCCACAGCTCAAATAAAGGTTTCACACAAAACACATTAACCACAAGAAATGGCCAATTATGCATAGGTGATTGACAGCAACAAATTAAAAGCCACAGCGGGACGCAGAATGAGAGATGATCATATGTGATTGTGTGAGGTACCTCAAAGATTCACCTTACAAGAACCATGTTACCAAATGTAAAATCATTCATGTTTTAAATTCTAAACTAATTTAACTGACTTGAATTATTGATGGAATGGATTCAACAAGCTACCAGAAACATTCCTTAGAGATTCCTTAGTCCATGCTGACCTGAGAATATCACACATTAGCATCGGCTGCACATTCATGGCGTTCCCAGGAGACCATTGTACTAAACTCAATGACATCTCCAGTCTTTGTGACATGGCATGTTATCATGCTGGAACAAACTATTAGAAAATGGGTAGACTGCATCCAGAAGGAGATGCATACGGTCAGCAAGGATGCAGGATCACAGCAGGTTGGATGTGGAATTTAAATGATGCTCAAATGGCCTAATGTGTCTGAACCTACCATCTGCATTGCATCTGAAATCATGATTCATCAGACAGAGCAATGTTTTTTTCCAATCGTCTAATGTCCGGTTTGACAAACATATGCCCACTGTAGCCTCAGCCTCCTGTTATTAGCTGACAAAGGAATCTGCTGTTTGCCTGCTGCTATAGCCAAACACTTAAAGGTTCAAGGTGTATGTTCAGAGATTTTTTTTTTTTTTTTG